TTATTTCTTTCTCTTTATGTCTGTCAGATATTGCTTCATGTATTTAGAAATTCTGTTACTGATCAACAAATGATTAACCCTTTCACAATGTAAAATTTCCTTCCTTATTCCTCATAATGTAGGTAGTTCATCACTGATTCAAAATATATATATGTATATAAAATGAATTTTGAGTTTAGACTTGAAACTTACTTGCAAGGTATTTCATTTCTATGCCAATATTCCACATCCTGAAAAATAATGTGAAATGCTTCTGGTCCCAACCATTTCAGATAAAGAATATTGAACCTGTATTCCTTGTTCAAGATCTACTTTGTGTTCTGTTACTATAGACATCCAGCTTTATCTTCATTTGTATTTGCATGGAATCTTTGTTCTCTTTTCGCCCTGACTGTACATACCTTATTTCCTTTGTTATTCGGTGGTGCTAAGGTCAATTCCAAGCACATACTGGGCAAGTGACCCGCCACTGAGCTACACCCCCAGCCATTGCACTATTTTTTTTATGTAAAGTGATGTACTTGGAGGTAGCATATACTTACACTTTTAAATCTGTTGTAGGTATGTCTTTTTTTTTTTTTTTTCTTTTTTTATGTATTTAGTACAGGGTCTCACTATGTAAATCGGACTCATAGTGATGCTCCTGTTTTTAGCTTCCGAAGCACGTGTGCGCCACCATGCCCAGTCTCAATTGCCATCTCAGTGCACCCCGGGGACAACACCAGCATGGCACGTTGGGCATTGAACCCTGGCCCTTGTGACTGCCTTCTAATTGGATTATTGGAAATCATTTACATTTAATATAATATGGTTGGGTTTGAATCTACTAGCTTGCCATTTCTCATCAATTCTTCAGGTGTTTTTTCCTTTTATACCTTTTTGGATTATTTTTATGATGGTATTTTTATTCTATGTCATACCTAGCTTACTACCTGTACTCTTGATTTCTAAATGAAGTGAAGTGTACATACACATATAACATAGTCAACTCACACTTGTGTTGGAAGGATCTTATGCTTCCATTTCCCCTTATTTGTCATATATTTTACTCCTAATATATTATTATGATCATACACTTCATTCTTTTACTCCAAAAGTAACCTGTAAATTTACAAGATGGGAGAGGCATCTTTATATTCACCTATATTTACCATTCCTAGTGGTGTTCACTTAACTTTGTACTTCCACACTTCTTTTTGTCTGGTTTTCTTCTGCCTGATAAGCTTCAGTTAGTATTGGAGATGAAAGTTTTCTAATGTCCTTTCTCAGATTTTTGAGCAGTATTGTTCCACTTTCTTGTTGTACTTTCATGTTGGAGGGGCTGGGGAAATGGCTCAGTAGAATAAGCACTTGCCTGGCCAGCGCAAGGCCCTGAGTTCAATCCCTGGTACCGCAACAACAACTACTTTCATGTTGGAAAGATGCTCTTGCTGAAAATGGATTTTTAGGATGCCGTTCCCACAGTGAGTGTGGTCACTGTGTACCACATGCACATACCAATAAGAAGAAATAACACTTATGTCAAGATTTTCATCCATAAAAGCATTTTTCTGAAGAGAACTAAATTGTCTACCTGTACTAGGGATTGAACCCAGGGCCTTCATAGTGGACCTACATCTTTTTTTTTTTTTTTTTTTTTTTTTTTGAATCGGGGATTGAACTCAGGTCTTTGTGCTTGCCAGGCAAGTGTTTGTTCTACTCTGCCATCTCCTTGGCCCCGTGACCTACATCTTGACCCTTTCTAGAAACCTAGTTTTAAGACAGTCTCATTTAGTTGCTAAAGTATCCTGGCTGGACTCCCAACATGCCATCCTCCTGCCTCAGCTTCCCAGAGTACTGCCCTGCAACACCCAGCTAATGTTGCTCTATTATTTTGTGTCTTGCTACTTTTTTTTTCTTTAGCTTTCTTTTCTTTATTTGGGGGCCTGCCCCTTAGCTCAGTTGTTTAAGTGGCTGCTTCAACAAAGCAGTCAGGCTCAGGTTGCTGTGGTTCGATCCCCACAACTCAAGCCAGCCAAACCTGCCCTGAAGGCATTTGGAGGGGAAAAAAAAATCCATATTTTATTTATTTAGTTAGTTAGTTATTTAATACAGGATCTCCCTACACAGATCGGACTCGTAGTGATCCTCCTGTTTTCAGCCTCCCAAGTACTGGGATTACAGGCACACAGCATCACACCTAGTCTCAGTCAGGGTCTCAGTGCACCTGGTCCCTGAGTCTGCCCGAGAAGGTGCTTTATTCTGCTGAGCTATTTTTGGCTGGCTCAGCCAGCCTTGAGGGCAGGGCTGTGTGCATGTGGTGCCAGGGATCAAACTGCAGTCCCCTGCAGCTGTCTTTTTTTTTTTTTTTTTCCTTGCAGCTGTCTTAAGCTTGCCTAAGCAGGTACTTTAGACCGCTGAGCTATCTCTGCTAACTGGTGCTACCTTTTTCTCCTTTGTACCACTTGTCGTTTTTGGTTCCCCCCCCCCTTGGTTAATTCAGGAATTATGTATTCATCATTGCTTTTGAGCAGTTTCATTTATTCTCGAGTGCTGTTCATTATATATATATATATATATATATATATGTATGTATATGTATATGTATATATGGCTCTATATTTGTTCTCTTGGTTTTCAAATTTAGAAATACTTTGGCCATTATTCTTCAAGTATTTTTTGGTTTTCCCTGAGTCCTCTTCCTTTTTATGCATTTGGTACAGGGTCTTACTACACAGCTCAGACTTGTAGTGATCCTCCTCCTGTTTTCAGCCACCCCAGCACTTGGGTCTACAGGTGTGTGCCACCATGCCATGCTTTCTTGTTTGTTTTTGGGTTTGGTTTTTTTTTTTTTTCCTTGTTTCTTTGCATGCCTGATAATTTGTGATCAGTGCCATGTATTCTGGCTCCACATTGTGGATGCTATATTTTTGAATACTATATTATTCTAGGTTACAGGCAAATTATTTGGGTTCTCTTTGTGCTAAAAAGGCTTGTTGTCAGATGTCACTAGTGTGTATTTAAAATGGCCTTTGTTTTGGAGTTGATGGTCCTTTGTTGCTGTTATTCTATTCTGGGGACTTTACCTGAAGCCTTGTGCATTGCAAGGGCATTCCAATGAAACTGCTGAAAACAGGAGCTACTTTTAGCTGTGTGTAAGATGCAGGTTTCTCTGACCTCCTGGTTCTGTGCCCAGCTCAAGATTCCTTTCATGTGTGTAGATCGGGCCTCAGCCACCGAACTTCTTCCCTAGGTGACTCTGCTCCACTAGTGTATCCCACATACTTTGTCTCAGCCTGCACAATTCTGTCTCGAAACTCCTTGAAACAACCAGATTCTGGTTGAGTTCCCCATTCCAGCATAGCCTGAGATTTATCTCCAAGCAGAAAATAGTGGCAGTGGGGCTGGTGAGATGGCTC